ACTGAAAAGTAAATTTAACAGCTGCTTTTGTACTTGAATGCTTTTCTCGTCTGTTGGTGATGAATATATTAGTGCATTTTAATATCATACTAATATTATAAATGCGAAAGTTTAGATGTATGGATGTTTGTTAGAGTTTGTAGCTTAAACGGCTAAACGGATTTCCATGAAATTTGGTACAGATGTAGAGAACAGTCTGGAAGAAGACATAGGCTACTCACTTTTGATTTTCTTTAATCCACGCGGACGGAGTCGCGGGCGAAAGCTAGTATTTACATAAACATGTAAATACATTCCAAATATAAATGAAGATTTAAGATTTATTTCCGTTAAATTACAATGCACGCGTGGACATTTAGATATTCGCAAACGCAACTATAAAAGCGCAACAAAGAGGTCCGTATCGCTTATCTCAGATCTGAGTAATAATTACAATCCCCGACATCTCAATCCCGGCTCCCAATTACCGGTAGAATGAACAAAAATAATTATTTTAAAGAAAAACTCGATTGTTACAACCCTATTGCAAACACTAACTTATTAAAATACAAACTAAATTCAACTCTAACTTTACGCGATAGAGTACAAATTCTGTTTTCGTTTTTAGGAATCATATTGCGTTAAGTTACTGAAGGGTACTTAATGGGCGGAGCGTCACCCCTACCACGTTTGAACGCAGAAGGTGGGGCGTTTGTCATTCGTGATCCAGCAGTGGGGGTTGACGGATGTGTATTCAGTGATCGTTCGGGAACATCGCGAGTCGTTAGCAACACGAATAACCGTTCGTCTGTGGTCGTCACTTTGTTTACACTCGTGTCACGATCTAAGCGATGTTAATGTTAACCAGTTAAATCGTTAGTTCCGTTTGTAATTGCCAGACAGACATTTGTATGATAAATGCGTCTGATTTCTGCAAAGCGTCTGTTCAACGTCGATTAGTATTATGTAGCACAGATATGGCGTAAATGCTTCGTTATATTAAATCTATAGTTGCCTTGCTAAAACAATCTCAATAATCGTTTTAAATTCTTTGCTAGTGATCTTATAGTGTAGTCAATTATATTGTTTGTCCAAAATATTATTCACTAGCTTTCGCGCGCGACTCCGTTTGCGTGGTATTTAAATAAATGAAAGCTAGTAGCCTATATGTTCTTCCAAACTATCTTCTACGTCCGTACCAAATTTCATCGAAATTTGTTCAGCCGTTTAGGTTTCACATTTATAATATTAGTCTGAAGTATGATTTTGCCTTGAATACCAAAATGTAGTTAATTTCCTTCGTTTTTAAATGCTAATTATTGTAAGATGTTCTTAAAAAGCGAGTGATACCTACAAAAAGGAAAGTTAGTTATGTCATAAATAAAAGAGTCATAAGTAAAAGAGAACTAGACGTATTTAAAACGGTTGATAACAAGTAGGTAATAAAATATAGGATTTAACACAATGTGAGTAAAGAATCGACAGGCGTGGTTTGCAAGACAGACTGAGGTATTACGACTTGTACGTGACAGGCTGAGAACTTTTTGTATGAAGTCGTGAATCAATGAGTTTAGAATACTCGGTTTAATGATTGCTTTGAATCTCAAGGGATACGTGACTTGATTACATTTGTAGACGTTTGTTAATTGTTTTTTACACTTATTTTACAACCTGAAAACGTAGAAGAATGTATAGCTATTCGTTTCCCAAAACAATTTATATGGTCATAAAAATTCTACTAATTACATTGACTTCTGAATATCATACTAATATTATAGATGGATAAATGTTTTTTAGAGTTTGTAGCCTAAACTGCTGAACGGATCTCGATTAAATTTGGCATATATGTATACGGAAGTCTGGAAGAACACATGGGACAGAACATACTCTCTTTTGTTTATTTATAGTTCACGCGGACGTAGGCACGGGCGAAAGCTAGTAGAAATACAAACCTAATAAATACATATAAAACTGGTTGAATCCTTATATTATAATAATTTTACATAAAGATCTCAGTAAATGATATCGCTAGAAACATGCAACTCATGTCATCTACGATCATTAAAGCTTGAGCATTGTGACTTATTATCAAAGCTGGTGACATTTCGATGTGAATAATAAATATAAAATAATATTAATTAGTCAATTTATTTATATTTTATTCTCAACAAAGTTCGTAGAATGATAATATAACAAGATATTCAGACAGTCATAATATAGATAAACGTATAAATTTACGAACCGAATTACATCATAAAATATGTCTTTCGACGTTCAATTTTTTTTTTAATTACATGTAGGTTTATATTTTTTATATTATAAGGCGGCAAACGAGCGTACGACCACCTGAATTCGCCGAGAAAGCATCTCTGCCCAGAAACATCCAATACTTCAGATGCGTTGCCTACCCTTATTCAACGGAGAAGGAAACATAAAGAGGATATTTCCCTATGCGTCTCATCCACCGTCAAATACACTTTCCCTTCTTATCCTTTCCTTGTAAAAAATGGTGGAAAAGAAACACATGTTGTATATATAAATATGTGTATTTCTAAATTATCTACACTACTCTACAGTTTGTTAACTCCGTCTTATATAAACAAAATCATTACCTCTTCTCGTACTCGTTAGATGTGTCACAGAGAGCGGGCAATAGATCTGTCAATCATCACTCAGACAGTCAAACATGCAGACAATTCGAGTTGAACTTTTGGTGATCATGAATGTAGACATCAATGGACATGGTATGCTGAATGGTGTCGATAGAGATAGCAAAGATGTCGACCAAACCAACGTATTTTAATTTTTTTTATACTAGAGTTGACACCCCTAATATAGGTAGGCTCTAGGATAGCTATAGTGAGGGGATTTTTAAATTATTAGTAAGATAAAAGTGTTTTTTTTTTTAATACAGAGATGTAGTTAGCGAGAAAGATAACTATGTTTTGTAGAAGCTTTAATTACCTAAATTAAATTTAGACCCTCTTGTAGTCGCACTAAATTACTGTAGGTAAACTTCGAGGATCGGAGGGTCATCACTATAGGTAAAATTTAACGAAGTACAAAAATTAATGAGGCGTATACTTTATTACCTACTTTTAGGAAGTTGTTAATACTATTTTATTTAAATTACATTTACATATATAAATATGAATGTATACAATTAAAAAAAAAAGTTATTTTAGATACCCTAAATTCATATTTAAACAATAAATGCCACACCGTAACGATGTTCAATATTTCATAGAATAACGCAAGGGGTAGGTTGTGGGTGAGGCTGTGCGGACGTCCGGCGGAAGTGGGCGGGGCGTAACGCCGCCATTTTGCGCGCGTCGCGCCTGCGCGGCCACATCAAAGGGATGGGGTAAAAACGTGGGAGAGAGCTTTTTTTTTTAAAAAACGAGAATGTATTCGTACTTTCCTGGAATTGCTTTGGGTCTCTCGGGATTCGGGAATAAGAATTTATTACGGACAGTAGTGAAATTTTCTCTTAAAATAAAGAATATTTTAGTTAAATTGTATGCAATCTAGATATTACTCTCATTCAGTTCTTAGTTAGACCTTTAAGAATTATCTGATATAATAATACGTGGTCTTTTTTTACAAAGTAGAACTATTAATAAATAGCGATATCGATGTAATCATAATCACTAAAACCTTAACAGAACACTGAAACAAAACAGAACACCTGGGAAAAATTTAAACAAATGCACGTAAATTCCGTTTACGTTGCACCTTTCTAAAACATCGTTATTAACGTTATACGGTAGGTATTTTCATTTCTTAATTAACCAAATGTTAATCGTATAATGTCTCCCTGTTACCAGGCGAGCATAGCTGCGACAGGCGCGCATAAATCACGCCGCGTCGACCCATCCATCACGCGGCCGCTGACTATCAATCGAATAAACCGAAATAGTATCAAGCCGATGTTGTCCTAGTGATGTGCGTTTGATTGCACACGTCTTAGAGAATTATTTCCTTTTGGTACGATTGGTTAAGAGAATCAGGAATGTAAGATAGTTTAACTATCACACTCAGAAATTGGTAGTTACTAGCACCGTCACTTAACGTGGATTTCTCTTAATAAACTTTCACTACATAAGTTTATTAGTGATCGAGTAACAACTCTAGAATGAAATGGTTGAGAGAAGGTGAATTGAAAAACAAATTCAATACCAATATAAGCCAAGGATTGGTCTATTTATTAACTAGTTACTGTTTACAGTCTGTCAGTACTGTCAAACAATTTATTAAAAGTTTTCACGTTTTTCACAACACTACAGTTTTATCTGGTTAACTTTCTCATAAAAGCGATCAGAGACGATTCACAAATATGTTTCGTCCAGTTCAAACATTTCGTTCTAAATCTGGAACCATCATGAAAACATCGTGTTCGCCTTTGATCTCACCGGCGAATGGAGATTTGATTCATTTCGGACAATAGCATTATAACTAAATAGTTTTTTGAATAAACCAGCGTTTTTATCAATGACTGCTTATTGAGTGAAATTACCAGTAAGGGAGTGGAATATCTGGTGCAATAAAATGGCGCATTAGTTCGAAATAGTACAAGATATAAGATTTATTTTCCATTATTGGTTTACAATAATTTGCCGTTTACCATTCATATAACATAGATAAAAGATGTCATTAAATTGTGTTTGTACTGACCATAAACGATTATGTTTTCTGTTACATTGTTTCTGGTTGTATAAAACCTATAAAAAGTCAATTGGTCGTAACATTTGTAATTTGATTGGTCAATAATGCGATATCGTCGAGCTCCTCATATGAAATCAACGTAAAAGATCAACATAAACATACATATCGCTGTAAACTACAAATGTTTCAATCGGGCTACGCGTTATGAACATCTCAGCGATAAAACTCGACGATCACGATAAAAAAATGTACGCGGAAGGCGATTTAAAATGTAAAGTCGATGTGAACAGCCGCCGTAAAGCAACGCAAGACATGGGACCGGACAAGTTATGACGAGCCGTGAACTGTGATTGAATTAGTCAACGCGATTAATGACCGCGTACCGTCGGACAAAAAATGTCGTCGTTAATAGAGCCGGGCTTGTTAACGCTACCGAATTAACGACGGCCGCTATCGCGCGATTGCAACACCTCCGATATACCTACCTCCGCGGGGCGGGCCGGCTCGCGATCGATATCGAGCGGCTGGCTGCAGGGCGTCTCGCTCCCACACCGGGTCTGTATCGCAACGGACAGGGAGGAGGCACGCCCCTCGGGCCCCGGCGCCGCCCCCTGCCGCCCGGCCGCCCGGCGCGCCGCGCTCCGCGACCAGTGTGCCGCGCGCGTGCGTCCCGAGAGCGCGCCGTGCCATGCGCCGCCCGTAGCCTAACCGCCACCATGCTCGTGCCTCCCGAGATGATGGCGGCCCAGTCCAAGCTCGTCTACCAGATGAATAAGTACTACAACGAGCGGGTCGCCAACCGCAAGGCGCAGATCGCCAAGACGATCCACGAGGTGTGCCGCATCGTGCAGGATGTCCTCAAAGAGGTGGAGCTGCAGGAGCCGCGCTTCATCTCTTCTCTCACCGACTACAATGGCCGCTTCGATGGCCTCGAGGTCGTCTCGCCGCACGAGTTCGAGATCGTCATCTACCTCAACCAGATGGGTGTGCTCAACTTCGTGGACGACGGCTCTCTGCCAGGCTGCGCCGTGCTTAAATTGAGCGACGGCCGCAAGCGCTCTATGTCGCTGTGGGTGGAGTTCATCACCGCCTCAGGCTACCTATCTGCGCGCAAGATCCGCTCACGTTTCCAGACGCTGGTGGCGCAGGCGTGCGACAAGTGCTCGTACCGTGACTGCGTCAAGATGATCGCCGAGACGACCGAGGTGAAGTTGCGTATTCGCGAGCGATACATCGTGCAGATAACGCCGGCCTTCAAGTGCGCAGGGCTTTGGCCACGTTCAGCGGCACACTGGCCGCTGCCTGCCATTCCGTGGCCACACCCGAATATCGTGGCCGAGGTCAAGACTGAGGGCTTCGACCTGCTGTCCAAGGAGTGCCTTGCGCTGCAGGGCAAGAACTCCGCTATGGAGGGAGACGCGTGGGTACTGAGCTTCTTTGAGGCGGAGAACCGGTTGCTGCAGGGCGGCTGCCGGCGCAAGTGCCTCAGCGTACTCAAGACAATTCGCGATCGGCACCTCGATTTGCCCGGCAACCCTGTCACCTGCTACCACATGAAGACGCTGCTGCTGTACGAGTGCGAGAAGCATCCGCGCGAGCACGAGTGGGATGAGGGCGCGCTGGGTGATCGCATCAACGGCATCTTCTTGCAACTGATTTCATCGCTGCAGTGCCGCCGTTGCCCGCACTACTTTCTGCCGCATGTTGACCTCTTCAAGGGCAAGTCGCCGACGGCGCTCGAGAACGCCGCGAAGCAGGTGTGGCGGCTAACGCGTGAGATGCTCACAAACTCCAGAGCGTTTGAGAAGCTGTGAGCGCTCTATTCCTACAATTAGTCCTAAGTGGAGTGAGTGAACTAGTGATTACCGAGTATGTTATTTGTTCTCGAGTCATTTATTTAGTGTTTGCGCGGTGCGGTAGTGCGGTATTGCGGTAGAGTGGTAGTGCGATAGTGCGGTAGTGCGGCCGGCGAGTGCGGTTGCCCGGACTGACTGTAAGTACAGTGTTACTACCCGACTGGTACTTGCACTTTGCATATTATTTGTGATATAATGTAAATAATTTACTTGTACAATTTTAGTGATATTTAATTATTTGAAAATATTAAAAAGTATGGTGTATTTATTTGACTGAGACATTTTAAAGTAGGCTTACGTACTGATATTACAATAAACAGATTTAAAATTATTTACATCTTTGATTTCTGGTAACAAGTTATCCCGAACAAACGATTTCAACGACAAACGTCGACTGAAGGCAAGAGATACAAGAAGCCGTTGCACACACATTATTTCCATATATTTTCAACACGAATACTTCCAACAATTTATTTAGTTGTCAATGTAACATAAATTATTATTTAAACATATTATACGTATTCATGTACATTTAAATGTTTTTACCACACTGGCAGAGGCATACTAAATAATAAGCTTGTTGGAAATTAATTTAGCTATTAAGAGTTCCTAACAAAGATCCCATGTTAAAAATACAATAAAACCACATAAGTAAAAATTTCTTCACTTACAAAACTTAGACCAACACTTTTACTCGCTGATAGTCTTTGAATCGACTTGGAAACATCTTAGAAGTCGGTTACAATTTATCCGATGTTTTTATTTGAAAAAGATTTAAAACCCATCACTTCTGACATCAAGGATTTGGTAGCTATGATGAATAATTGTTATAAATTAACTTTAGCTAAATAGATGCGTATTAATCACGCAAAATTTGAATATAGACAACATTATTTAAAATTCACACATCGAAACAGATAAATATGTATTTTATGTTAACTATAAAAAAGGTTTAAATTCCGTTAACACAATTAATTACTTCTACTATTGCTTGTTAACTAATTAGTAATGTTTTTTTCAAAATCCTATACCACCTATATCTATATTATTATAATAAAGCGTAAACACACACTTCTTTGTTGCCTAAGATGTCAGCAATTACACCATATTTTTGTATAATTCTTTTTTTAATAAAACGCTTTACACTTACGTCACGCTTTAGGCTATATATTTCCACGCCATTAAACTTAGGGGGTAAATATTTTGGATAAAAACCCTAATGTGGGAAAGAGACCGTAAGTTGCTGCCAACATCAAGGAAGCAAGGTTGTCATCATGTCATGTCATTTTGACATTTGCTATTGATCATTTGACCAATGTAAACGATGACAACAAATGTAATGATGAAGTCGCACAGAAACAGCTAGTTGGTATATAAAATTGAATGCCTTTAACAATTTTTGACATACCGTATAGGCCTTATAATGGCGGGACAGTGCCCCTATCGAGGCAAACAATATTTATTCTATGTATTAAAACTATTAGAGACAAAATAGTTTAGGCTTCCTATTTGAGCACTAACACTTTATGCATTTTTATAACTGTCTACCAACCCCTTAAGGGATCAAGTATGAAGCAAAGTACAATTAAAAATTAAAAACATTTCTATGCAGAACTAATAGTTGCCCGCAACTTCGCGTGACATTCGGCAATTTGGCCACATTATTAATTATTCAAATGTTAACCTAATATGCAAATAACCCGTATGTTATGACAAAAATCTGTTACAGCATAAAATAAAATCTATTTATAACTATTTTAAACTACAGAGTTAAACCTTTGATCAATCTTACTAATATTGTAAATGTAAAAGTTTGGATGGATGGATGTTTGTTAGAGTTTTTAACCTAAACTGCTAAACGGATCTCGATGAAATTTGTCATAGATGTAGAGGAGTCTGGAAGAGCACATAGGCACTTATGATTTTTTAATACCACACGGATGGAGTCGCGGGCGACTGTTATACATAATAAACAAAAGCAACGCAAGAAAAACCTACATAAATAAGGGACTAACAAATAAGAACTTATATCCCTGCTTACGTAGTGTCGGCTTACAAGAATGTATAGTGCGTGCGTGTCCGGAGATAGCAGCGACATATATTAATGGAGGAGATATGTTTGTGGGCAGGCTTGGGGTATTTCGGCCTACCGATATGCTACTGGTACATACGATATCTATACTAATATAAAACGTAAACACACAGATATATAGAAAGTCAAACTAATTATTATCTATACTAATATAATAAAGCGAATATACACACTTTTTTGTTACCTAAGATGTCAGCAATTACAGCATATTTTTGAATAATTCCTTTTTTAATAGAAAGCCAAACACTTACGTCACGCTTTAGGCTATATATTTTCACGCCATATAACAGGGGTAAATATTTTGGATACAAAACCTAATGTGGAAGAGACCATAAGTTGCTGCCAACATCAAGGAAACAAAATTGCCATGGATTTTCAACGTGTCATGTCATTTTAATATTTGCAATTGATAATTTGACACATGTAATTTTATGAGAATGAAGTCGCACGGGAACAGCTAGTAATATAATAAAGCGTAAAAATTCACTTCTTTGTGGCACAGTATATTTTTTTATAATTCCTTCTTTAATAAAAAGCCCTACACTTACGACACATTTTCACGCTATTAAACTTAGGCGGTAAAAAGATTGGAAAAAACCTTCATGTGGGAAAGAGACCATAAACTACAAGCTGCCAACATAAGGAAGCAAGATTGCCATTTATGCATATGAATATCGACACTTACAATTGAGAATTTGACAAATGTTAAAAATATAATAATTTCAAGCGGATGAAGCCGCACGGGAACAGCTAGTTGATAATAAAACAACATATTGATAGCTTAAGTAAGATTTTTAAACACGGCCGAAGGATTTGAAATGCCTAAACAACGGAGTTTTGTACAAATTTTTTCGTCATGGTTTTAATTACTTGTAGTTTGTAATTTAATACAAAAGATAATCTCCAGTAACAAGTAAGAAAGGAACAAAGTGACAATCTAACTAAAAGTTTAAAAAACTATTTCAAAATCATATCACAAAGGACAAAGCGTACATGCACAAAGTTTGTAAGCCGAAATAACTGTAGTAGACATCATCACGTACTATAATCGTATATTAATCGAGGAACGTGTTCTGCATCTGTCTATAGTAGGAGACATTAATTCCCTACCCATGTAAGTAAAATTTAACATCACACATAACTCAGTCTTAAACACGTCATAAGTGCTGAATTATAGCTCATGTGATCAAATTTTCTGTATAATTTTTCGCAGTGGGTATCGAATTTAATTCTCTCACTGTACTATTTGACTTATAGCGAGGTTATGAACCGAAGGCGCCACAGCGCAGGCAACACAGCGCATACTAATCCATACAAATAATAAAATACACTTGTCACGATGTCCGTCATTATTAAGGAAATATGAACCCCGTTAGATCATAAATCAAAATGTACTTTGATGATGCACAAATGTTTTTATATACTAGCATTTGCCTGCGACTCCGTCCGCGTTTTAAAGAAAAGTTAGTAATTAACCTCTAATCCAGACTGTGTTCTACATCTGTGTTAAATTAATCGAGAACAGTTCGGCTGTTAAGCCTACAAACTCAAACATCAAAACGTCCATCCATTCCAATCTTTCGTATTTATAATTTTATTAATATTTTTGTTGAATCTCGAGCACCATTTGAATAAGAAACTAAAATTATACCTGCGAAATTTCTAAGGACATTTGACTTAGGCTCATTTGAGGCGTATTTCGTCAACAACACGGCAAACGCTTGAATGGTTTTATAGTTGTGAATTTAACTATCATCATCATCATCATCACCAGCTCACTATACGTCCCCACCGAGGGGCTCGGAGCCTACCCTAAGTTAGGGTGACTAGGCCATAGTCAACCACGCTGGCCAAGTGCGGGTTGGTTGACTTCACACATATCTTTGAATTTCTTCACCGATATGTGCAGGTTGCATCACGATGTTTTCCTTCACCGTAAGAACGTCGGGTAAATTATGTACATATGAAAATTAGAAAAAATCGAAAATCACATTGGTACACGGCGGGATTCGAACCCAAGACCTGTAGATTACAAGTCAAGTGCTCAAGCCACTGAGCCACCGAAGCTCCTTTTATATTTAACTATAAATATTACCAAAAATATAGTTAAACACGTGTGTTAACTTGGTTAATTATTTCGCCATAATATACACTGCGTAAGTTAAAAGTACTTAACTATTTTATGAGTTGGCCTTTACCGCTATTTAGTTTTTTTTTTCTCTTTAGATTGATAAATCTGTTATGGTTATTAAGTTTATTTTATTACTAGTGTACAGCGACTTCCGACTATCTACGCTTCCCTTTAACATCTTGGGAAGGGGGGGGGGGTGGCTGAAAACCAGCTCGACACTGGACCTCAACCAGTATCGGTTAAGCTGAGCCTCCCCCTTTTGCCATCTGTTACAATTTTTTTATTTTGTACAACTCTGTGTACATTCTTGGATGGCAATAAAGAGGTTTTTATTTTATTTATTTATTTAATTTTCAAGTACTTTCTAAGCCTAGGCATAATGTTTAAATAACGATGTTCTTTCAACAACCTGCGCCGTCGGCAGCTAGAATCACCATATAAAAGGGTTAACGTACTCAAAACTAACATATATCAAACTAGGAACTGTTGTGCGATTGTCGATTGTTTCGCAGCCAATTCAACTGTTTAGTTGCACAACTAAAAATGGAGTAGTGCACCTTCATATAAGGGCATAGGAATCAAAGCGATACTAAACAATTAAGAAATAGTTTAGTAAAAAATGTGCGCACGTTCTAAATTTTTTAAAGTAATGGATAAAGGTAAAAGTCTAAATAAACTCTGTCTACAAAACTTACGAAACAAAACGTATTAGTTTCTAGTGACATTTTGTCGTAAGAACACATTAGGCAAATAGATTTAAAAAATTCACCAAACGAACTGCATATAATTCTTTTGGGAAGGATTTAGTGCGGACACGCCGCGGCTATGGTCGCCTGGTATCTAAAATTGGAAGTTAATGGTCAATTACTTACCTTATAAGTTAAGTTTGAGACTTTAACTTTAAGTTTTACGATAACTTAAGATAGTTGAAACGCTTTTAGAGATAAACTTATCAATATGGCCGCGCTTGCAACATTATTTAAATAAATTTTATAACATTTACACACTAATTTTATTTAATTTTTAGCGTTATCCCTGTAAAAAATAAAGCGAACACCTGAGCGAACACAGGATACACCATTAGTATGTAGGTATTTAAGTTTTATAA